ACTGTACTAAAATGTCTTCATCTTCCTACTGTATTATAATCATTAGGTAGTGTTTACACAGAAACATTTGGATTCTGCATAAAGATAGCTGTCACCCAAACCAGAAAAAACAATAGGCTCTATGAGATGCTTCAAAAATCAGAAGCCCCAACCTCACAGGCCAACATGATCAGCACTAGAGATACAAATTGATTTTTAGTTTATTTTTAAAATTTGAAACAGGTTATATGTTTTCATTGCTGATCTCAAACCCATGATGTAGATCAAGTCAGCAAGCTTCTTTCTTCTGTCTCCCAGTGCTGGAATTGTGCTGGGGGACCACTCAAGCTGGACAAGTAGCACTTTCTTTAAGATTTCTTTATTTTTGTTATTTAGTTTTATATATGCATATATATATATATGTATGTATAAATAATCAGACAAATAAATAAAAAATAAACATATAAATAAATAAATAAATAAATAAATAAATAAATAAATAAATGTGTTTTGCCAGCATGCATGTTTGGACACTACTCGGGCAGTGTCTGCAGAGGCTAGAAGAAGGTTTTGGATCTTGTGTTGTAACTGGTGTTACAGACAGTTGTGAGCTTCCACATTAGGTTTAGGGAATTCCAACCTGGCCCTCTAGAAGATCAGCCAGTGTTATTAACTTTCAAGACATCCCTCCAGCCTTCCAGCCCTTGTTTGTTTCTTTCTAATCTGAGTACCACAGAAAGAATTAGCAATGGCAAAGACATGGTCTTCTAACAATATAGAATTCTGATTCATTCCTTGGTCATGAGGCATGAATGTAAGTATTGATTCCTGGGCAATTCACCACTGTGCTTGACCATAGAATATGATAAAAGTCCATTCCAGTACCATCAAGCATAGTTTTTTCTCCGATTATTCTTCCAGACAAGATCTCCCTGGTTGAAAATCCTGATGACAATGTATAGAATAACATAATGGGAAAGGTAGCCAAAACTGTTATTGACAGGATGGGTATATGACAGGCAGTATTTTGACATGTGCGCACACACACACACACTAAAAAAAAAGTAAAAGCCAACCTATAGCTCAAAGTCCCTCCTGCAGAAGCCCAGGTCCAACTAAAGCTCTACTCCCCTGAAGTCCGAGACCCACTCCTCTCTGCCAAAGGAGCCTTTCCTCATCACTGTCAGGGGGAAGTAATATCTGTGGTGCCATAGCTATCAAAGTGCATGTGCCTCCAGACTCCCTCCATATCACAGCTACATGTTGCTCTTCTCACCCTACACTCTATCCTAAACTTCTCCAGGTCATGTGCTTCCCATCCCATTACCATATAACCCTGCACTCTGGACATGTGCTCTCTCTCTTCCTCTGTCTGGGTTGTCTGTTTCACCTCTGATCTCATCTGCTCCTCATGTCTGGTCTTCTGGCCCTGTTCAGTCTACTGCTTTCTCTGACCTATACTCTTCCAGCTGCCTCTGTCTGTTCTTTCCCTCCTATCTACAATAAAAACCTTTCCCTTGCCCATACCTTGGAGTGGTTGTATCTTCGGTCTATACATCTGGTACCGAAATGCTCAGTTTACATGACTGGTGACAACAGAAGCATATAGGCCATGGAGGTGATGGTGACCGTCTGCTCTAGGACAACAGAACTCCTCAGCCTCTCTCCCTATTACTATCCAATCAACAAGCGTCTTCCTCTCTCCCCTTCAGTCCTCTATTCCCTACCATCCAATGAGAAGGCAGATCTGAGGACTGGCCTGTGACTCCCTAATTTGAAAACTCTATTCTGCAACCAAAGTAAATCATGCTTATTTCATGTTAATCTTGAGATTTCTTGGCTCACATAGGCCTAAGTGTGTAACTACTACAACATGAAACCCAACCTTATGCCACATCAGGTCTTCATTGTCCCCACTGCCACAGCATCCTCATCCATCCCAGGAATGCTGATTTTATTTGGATACCACATGAAAAACAATCTTAATTTTTTTCCTTGAAGAGCGTTTTCTTCTGGGCCTGGGAATGTAGTTGGTAGAGTGCTTGCTTGCCTCAATGCACGAAGCCCTGGCTTACACTCCAAGCACCACATAAAATGAAGTCTGGTGTGCATGGTTATTATCTTCAATCTCTGGAGGCAGGATGAGCCTAAGTGTAAGATCAGAGCACTTACAGAGAGCAGGCTTCTGCTGTGAGCAACCTTCAGCCCCAAAGTGAGGCAGAGTATGGTCTTTAAAGTCCTAAATGCTGTCATTGCTTCACATCAGGTACAGGCTAGGGGAGTCATCTCACACTCCTGGAGTCCTCCTTGTTTACAAGGGGTCACTTCCCAGCTGGGAAAGAGGAACCCTTTGATCTGTAAACCTTATAAGCACCATAAGAAACTCTTGGTATACAGGTCAGGATGGGGCTCCTTAGGAGAAGTATATATTTAGGAGAACCTGGGCTCCCCTAAGCCATTTTGTTGTGTATTTTCTCCAGAAAATGTTTGTGGTTTTGGATTATCTTTAGCTGTGCTCTGTTCCTACCTTGACTACTCCAGAGCAGGCCTGGAAGATGGTAGAAAGTTGCCAGAAATGGTAGAGCTCACTCTGGAGGTCTCCTCTCTGGCCAGGTATCTTCCCTGTCTTCTGTAACCTCCTATAACTATTCTGGGAGATACGCTAAAGAAAGGCAGTTGTACCCCACTCCTCGGCTACCAGGGTATTGAGACAATGGACTCTGTCTTAGAGTTACTATTACTTCGACCAAACACCATGACAAATAACAAGTTGGGGAGGAAAGGGTCTATTTGACTTACACTTCCATATCAGTGTTCATTGTTGAAGGAACTCAGGACAGGAACTCAACAGGGCAAGAACCTGGAGGCAGGAGCTGATGCAGAGGCCATGGGGGCGGAGGGTGGGAGTGCTTCTTACTGGCTTGCTCCCCATGGCTTGCTCTACCTGCTTTCTTGTAGAACCTGGGATCCCCTGCATCCACAATGCCTGGGCCCTCACTAATCATAAAGAACATGCTCTCCAGTCGGGCAGTGGTGGCACACGCCTTTAATCCCAGCACTTGGGAGGCAGAGGCATGTGGATTTCTGAGTTTGAGGCCAGCCTGGTCTACAGAGTGAGTTCCAGGACAGCTCGGGCTATAAAGAGAAACCCTGTCTCGATAAACAAAAAAAAAAAAAAAAAAAAAAAAAAAAGAATAAAATAGAAGCATTAAAAAAAAAAGAAGAAGAAGAACATGCTCTTCAATTGGATCTGATGGAGGCATTTTCTCAACTGAGGTTCCCTCCTTTTAGATAACTTGAACTTGTGTCAAGTTGACATAAAACTATCAGGTACAGACCTCAATGAATTAGAATTTCCCCAGGCATTCCACAGCTGCTGCCAATGTGCTAGGCTTCAAGATAGCTAAGACTGCCTTTGGATGAGGGAGGCCCTCACTTTATGTAGAGACCAGCACCACACTGGCAGTCCTCATAGTCACATGAGTTTCTGAGCTCTCCTGCATCTACTCTCTCTCTCTCATCCTGCATGGTGATGAAGAGACAGTCACAGGATAAGATCAACGGCCTTGGGCTGGAGAGATGGCTCAGTGGCTAAGACTGCTCTTCCAGAGGTCCTGAGTTCAATTCCCAGCAATCACATGGTGGCTCACAACCATCTATATTGGGATCAGATGCACTCTTCTGGTGTGCTTGAAGACAGAGACAGTGTACTTGTATACATAAAATAGATAAATGTTAAAGAAAGAAAGGAAGAAAGAAAGAAAGAAAGAAAGAAAGAAAGAAAGAAAGAAAGAAAGGAAGGAAGGAAGGAAGGAAGGAAGAAAGAAAAAGAAAGACTTTAACCACCTAATAAAGAAGCTGGTATTAATGTTGAACCTTCTGGCTGGCTTGCTTGCAAAGGCCCTGGCCAAGGTCAACACAAAGCTTCATCTGCTGTGGAGGGTCTGGTCGGCTGCTCCTGCCCTCTCCACCGCCGCTGCCCCTTCGGAGAAGAAAGTGGAAGCAAAGAAGGAAGAAACCAAGAGTCCAGTGATGACTGATGACATGGGTTTTGTCCTTTTGGATAACTTTTGTATACATGTTTAACTAAAGGCTAAACCTGTTAAAGACAACAACAACAACTACTACTACAACAACAAAAAGAGTTTCCCCAGAAGTCTCATGCTGGGAAAAGAAAGGTTTTGAGGGGCCTTGTGCTAGTCAGAGAGTTGTCTCGTAGAAAGACATTTCATACCGGTCTGACAACTTGTCTGACCATCTTGCAGGACAAACCAGAGCCAAGCCTGGGATGAGTCAGTGATGGGCGGAGCCACACTTTGATCAGGATTGCTTATTTATATATACCCTTTGTCCTCCACTTAAGCCTAAAGTTCATATCAGGACCCAGAAGAGGGACTCGGGGTCACTGGACTCTCTTTATTCCTTTTCCCAATTAGTCACATTGAATACACTGCATTTCTCTGCTTTTTGATATCATTTTTTATTTTAATTGGTCTATTGAGGGTGAGTGGCTGAGTTTGGCTTGGCAGGCCTGCCACAACCCAGACTTTCGCCCTAACAACTCCACTAGTTCAGGAACCCTTCAAGCTGCTGACAGGAACCCCTCTTACTCCCTCTCCAAGATAGGCACTGCTGGGAGATTTGGAATTCTGGCTACAAACAATTTTATTCAACACCATAGAGAAGGAGGGCTTCCCTCTCCCATGATTTCCAGGATCTCTATGTGTCCTCTGTTAACCTCCAGGTTGTAAATGGTACAAACAGCATGCTCATAAGTTACCAGGCTTTGTGAAGGAACTTGAAGTGTTTGTGCCATTGTCCCTGTGGCTACCTCTGCTGCCCCTTGGGAATCAGCACCTGAGGTTCAAATGGTATTTTCTCTTTCTTTGGCAGCCTTGGGGGATTTTCCATCCAAGTCTACAATGCCCTTGTTTTTATTATTCAGATGAGATTGACCCAGATTTACCCCGCCCATTTTTCTTGAAAGCCAACCCCTTAGAATCCTTTTAAATTCCACACCACAGAGACTGTGTGACTGAAGAAACTGGCTTCCAATTTGTCCTGGAATTCAAACTAAAAGTTTAGGTAAGTGGCCTAGAGGTGGCCTCAGTAACTATTTCTGCTTGACAGGTAGAACTGAGAGAGTTGAGGCCAGTCACTCTTGACTGACCAAACTCCAGAAAAGCTGGGCCAGGCAAACAGCTGGAGCGGGGGTGGAGGCACAGAAAAGTCAGAAGTAAAGAACGAGTGGGGTGGGGAGGACAGAGCTCCCAGACTGGGCGAGGGAGCATGTGTCTTTAGAATATAACCCAAACCCTGTATCCTGCCAGAGTCAGGCACTAGATCAAATTCCTTTGTGTTGTAAGATAAAGACTACAGCCACAGTCCTGGGTGTCAGTAATGACCCAGGAATACAACTCAGTGTATGGCACATTCTAAATGACCTTCTCATGAAGTACTTGAACACTACTTAGAAATGTGTTCTATTCTTCAAACGTATTTTATATGAAAAAGAAAAAAACAGTATTCAGCATTTTGCCAAGAGTTTAGGTGACATAGCCCACCACCTAGAGAAAAGAATGGCTTCTTTTCAGTAAGTAATAAAGTAAACCAGTGTCTCACTTTCAAGATCTCTCAACAGAGGGAAATCTTTCTGGCTCATCCTTCGGAAGCTGAGGTGGGGGAGTACACTGGTGGCTGCGGGGTGGTGGTGGTAGTGTGCTGGGAAAGATGAGGGGAGTGTACTGATGGATGAGGTGGGGGCAGTGTGCTGGGGAGGATGAGGGGTTAATGTGTATGGAAGCTGAGGTGGGAGAGTCTGCTGTGGAGATGGAGGTGGGTGCTGCAGCTCTTCTGAGCATTTGTCCTTTTTTCTCTTCCTTTCCTGTCAGACTCCTCAGAGCAGCAAAGCTACCATGGGTCTGCAGAAGTCCCTCATTCTGTTTCCAGTGTTTGTCCTGGTGCTCGGATGGGTCCAGCCTTCCCTGGGCAAGGAATCTTCGGCTGCGAAGTTTAAGAGGCAGCACATGGACCCAGAAGGTTCCTCCAGCAGCAGCCCCACCTACTGTAACCAAATGATGAAGAGCCGGGAAATGACAAAGGGGTCGTGCAAGCCCGTGAACACCTTCGTGCATGAATCCTTGACAGATGTCCAGGCTGTGTGCTCCCAGGAAAATGTCACCTGCAAGAACGGGAAGAGCAACTGCTACAAGAGCAGCGCCACCGTGCAGATCACTGACTGCCGCCTCAAGGGGAATTCCAGGTATCCCAACTGCGACTACACCACCAGTCATGTCCAAAAGCACATCATTGTGGCCTGTGAAGGGAGCCCCTCCGTACCAGTCCACTTCGATGCTTCTGTGTAGGACTCCACCTAGGCCAAACCAGTGAGCTATCCGTGTCTACCAACCTGATCACGTCAACACCTGCCTCCCCTCTCTATCATTCTTTCCCTGAAAGAAATAACTCATGTTAGGACTTCCTTCTAATGAAACATGTGTTCCTGACCTGTGTCCTGCTCCCAGATTCCTCTCTTGCCGTAGACAAATGAAGCAAGATGGCCCTCACCAGAATGTGTCCCTTCAACCTTAGACTTTCTCGACTTCAGAACCAAGAACCAAATAAGATTCTGCTCATTATAAATTGCCCAGTCAGAGGTGTCCTTTTAGGGCACTTCACAGTGGAGTAAGGACAATGGGCAAATCACCTCATTCATTGCTCCAGATCTTCCCTGCTCCTGGCATCTTTAATTGCACTACTGAGTCTAGAAATTTCTGCCTCTCCACTGATCATTCATTCCTCTCATATACTCTTCTCTATAATAAAGTCTAGCATCTATTTCAGCACCCAGTAGTCATGGATCCCAAATCCATCCGCTCCTCATACTCACACAGATCAGTCACAGCTGCTGAAGAGAGTCCCACCACTAAGAGAGCAGAAGAACATTGCCTTGCTTCTGCGTTTCAGGGATCTTCTTCCATCCGTGTTTCACTTTGCACTTTCTTTCTCAGTGTGAAGGAAAGGCAGCAGCCAGTCTTGCCTTCCAGGGGTTCCTTCTTACTCTCTTGTCTTCAGCTTGACTCAGATCTCATGGAACAAATAGGAATGGGGGGAGGGGCTTCAGTTTTAACAACCACAGTGGAAATCCAATTTCAATAATGCTTTTGGGAAACAGTCACGAAGGTGGCACAGTCTCACCCATGGATGATCCAGGATTCACGGTGGTGTTCCACATGGAAGGTGTAGAGCGAAGGTATGTTACTGTAAGAACCAGCCACCAGCACTCCTAGAACAAACTGTAGCGTTCCTCTGCAGATTAGCCGATAGTTTTAGGTATATTTGGGTTTTCTTTCAACAATTTGAGTAGCACAGAGTGTCCTGAAACTTAGTATGTGACCAGTGATGGCCTTGGGCTCCTGCTTCTCCTTCACAGACCTCTCAAGTACCAGGCTCTTAGGTGTGTGCCACCGTGTCCCAGCTATGTTGGGTGGGCAAGAACTTCCAAGTAGATGAGTCAGTGGCTAACTGCACTTCCTGCTTTCTCAGAGGCCCCAAATTTGGTTCTCAGCACCCACATGCCAGCTCACAATCACCAGTAACTCCATTTCCAGGGATTCTGAGGCTCTTCCAGCCTCTGTGGGCATTTGCACATATGTGGTGCACATAAACTCATGCAGGCACATACACATAAGTAAAAATAAAAGAAATAAAGAGATAGGCTTAATCTTTCACAGTGATTTTAGGTTCACATGCTATTTCTAGCCATGGCTGTCTTCATAACTAAACACAGAGAGCTTGCTCCTCTGATGGGATGGACATGCTAGACAACTGTGGTGTCTGTGTATTAAAGTTTGTCATAACCACAAGTCTCTTTCTAGCTTCCTCTTACAAGTCTGGGAAGAGCTTATACTAAAAGTCCTTACTTTTACACCTGTCCTGAGTCTACAATGTCAGAAAATTTGGCCTGGGCCCCTGACTTAGCCTAGACTGACTCCTGGACTCCTTTTTCTCTATCTGTGCCACAGCTTCCTAACACATGGGGATAGGTTTGTGTTGGAATTTGAATGATAATGGTCCCTAAACTCATATGTTTGAACACTTGGTCCCACTTTGGTGGAACTATTCAGAAAGGATTAGCAGGTATGGTGCTGCTGCTGGATGTTTTGTTTCTCCCAGGCTAAACTAGAGGGGGGAAAGCTTAGGTGGAGCAGGTGGGTGCATTGCAGGGCCTTGGTCAGCAGTGAGTGCGCTGGCAAAGAACACACAAAGAAGACACACACACACACACACACACACAAAGAGGAATAAGCTTCAAAGAACTGGTTTCATTATTGGGGGAGTATGTGAGGGGGTATTTATGCCCCTGGGGAGGTGGCCAGGGTCTCTGGGGCAAAGTTTGTGTGGTCATGTACAATTAGCCAGGACTGTTGGAAGATGCTTTCTGCATACTGAGTGGGGGGGGGGACAAGGAGTAGAGGCTAATAATTGTTGTGGTATTCATTCTTACTAGGGTCGATAGTGGGGCAGCCAACTTTCTGGCACCAGGTTGGGAGAAGGGAGGAAGCCAATACCTGACATCCTCATCTGATATATCCTGTGTTCAAGTTCTCTTCCACCCTTCCTTCCTTAATCCTGGACCATTACAGTCCCATGTAGCCTTCTTGGGGAAAGGTGTGTCACTGGGGGAGGCTTTGAAAACACGGTTATGTTTTCATTTCCGTTGCTCTCTCTGCCTCAGCTGTTGCTGTCACCATGCCTTTGCTCCACCGTCCATGACTCTGACCCTCTATCATCATAAGCCCAATCAAACACATGCTTTTATAAGTGGCTTTGGTCCTGGTGTTTCCTCACAGCTATAGAAAAGTAAGACAGTTTGATAATCTCAAAATCCATTATCTTAGTACTTATGGTTTTCTAGATATGTTTACCTTTACCTTTAGTCATTATATATAGTTACTAATTATCTATTGTTGTTGTTATCATTATTATCATCTCTAGAAAAGTTCCAGAATTGAAATCTGAGCTAGTGCTGTGAGAGCCCCTCAACACAAGCACTTTAGAGGTCTTTACTACCCTCCCAATAGCCTTCCAAGGGAAGTTTTCCTTCTAGAATGCATAAGCAGTCTGTGAGAGTAGAACTGGCCAGTTAACCTCCTCCTGGTCTCACATTCCTTCCCAGTCCCTCAGAACCCAGGGAAATGTTCCATTTGGTTCAGAGTTTATAGAGCAGGTGGTTGACCTAGAGATGACGTCACAGCAGCAGTAACAACCTACAGGAGTGGGGTCAGGAATTTCTTTGGCTTTATTGGAAACGTGTTTAATGAATATACGGTGCTGGATGATGATCGATCAGACCAGCCTGGCAGCCTTTCCACCTCCTTTTCCCTCCCATTCCTGGGGACACAAATGTCTTTGTGCTTACAGAGCACTAGGGAGCCAGAAATGTTAAACATACACCATTCAGGAGCCTCTCCTCAAAGGAGGAATTACTTAATTTCTGCCCAGAAGTCGGGGAGTGGATACTGAGCATGACCTTTTTGCTATCTGTGGAGGCAGATAGCAAAATGGCGCTCACCTTCGGGCGGCTTCTGCTCCCACCTTCCAGTCCACCTCACATCTTAAGCTTTATTGTGCACCTGGAATTAGAATGTTTATTGCCAGGAATGTGTGTGATTGTTACCTGGAGACTTTTCCCAAAAATGTACAGTGTTTGAAATGTGCTGACAGCGAACATCCTGGCATCCGATTCCTCGGCTCTGATCCGGGTGGATGAGGTCAATCTGAATCGAGTATTCAGTCTCTTCTCTTTGTGGACCACTGCCTGCACTGACACCTGCATCCCACAAGCACCCCCAAATAATTACTTAAGGAGAGGCCTAGGACTGTTTGGGAAGTAGTTTACATGGGACAATGAGCATGTGGTATGCACATGCGCATGGCCAGCTGCACGGGTCATAGATACATAGAATATCAGACTACAGACAACCTTTTATGAGCTAACTACAACCTGCAGCTTAAATATAATTAAGCTGAGGCATGAAATCAGGAGTAAACTAAAGACAACCAGGCTCGTTTACTCCCGGAGTGTGCTTTCATGCCCTGCTCCCAGGTATCTGATTTTAATATTCAAAGAGTATGACACAGTAAAATTGAAGAATACTATTTTTGTTCATCTCATTATCTCATTTATATTTTTGACTATATTGTTGTTGAAGCAGTTGAATATATAAATATGATAAGCTTCCAGACATTGTCTTTGTAGTCCCTGAGCTGCACGCCACAAAACATGCTACGTCACAAAAGACGTTAAAGCGGTGGCAGCCTCGACCTTCCAGGCCCAGCTATCACAGTAAAATGTCCCATGAAAGCTGTCCAAAATGGCTGCTCCCGTCAAAATGGCACCACAACATCTCCTCAGGCTGCAGTTGTCACAGGAGCTTCCAGATTCCAGAATTGTGAGGGAATAACTTTATGTTAAGGTTATTAGGGCAAAGGGAGATGTGGACCTGTTTAGAAATAGTTCTGGGGTGGGAGGGGGGATTCCCATCTTCATTGTCAGGATATCAATAGTTCGGTTTACATAAATCAGCAGCAGTAGCTTGATCCACTTGCAAACACTGTTTACGAGTCAGCAACGGCAATTGGATCCAGAAGAAACCTTGAGGCTCTGCCAACTGGCCTGAGTCTGCGGAAGTGGCAAGAAGCCAGGGGAAGATCAGCAAAGACTGGCAAGGTGAGCCATGCTACAGTGTCATCCACTGTCTGTTGGGTTCTACTTATATCCTTGCCAAACATCACATGTCTTCTCAAGTGTCTGTTCCAGCAAAACATCACATGCCCCTTTTCCAGGCAGCTTCTAGGAAAACACCATGTGTCTGTTTTCAGCACAACATTCTCCACATGTCTCCTCAGTAAAACATTCTAAGACAGTGTCCAGAAACACATCACAGGACACAATGGAGTCTCCAAAGAAATCAGACATTTCCACTTCACCTGTGATCTTCCCAGAGGTTTCATACTGTGTTGCTAACCTTTCTGGACCCCCAGAAAGTTAGCTCAAGAGACTGTATCTGATAACTGTTCCTTCACTTTCCAACATCAGATGGGTAAATAGAAGATGAGGTCAGAGAATCCTTAAACTGTCTCATGGCAAAGACTGGACAGAAAAAATAGAACGGAGTTCTCTACACTAATGATAAAGATGGGCCCTGGGGACTTAGCCAGTGAGCTTCCTTTCTTAGACATTCCTTCCTACAAAAGATATTTAATCTCTGTTCTACCCTGAGGAGGTGATATGCACCCATTTTCCACAATGAGCAATCAATAAACAGTTTGGAACCAAAGACTGTCTCTTTTATCAAGAACCACTGTGGAACATGGAGAAAACCTATAGGTTTGTCCTTATACCACTCCACCCCCAACCCAGAAACACGGGGCTTGAGGCCGATCCAGCTTGGAAATTCCAGGCAATGGTTCTGACCAAAAGTCCATCTCTTGGTCAGTATTTAATATTTAATAAAACTTGCCTCAAATTTGGCCCAAAATGGTAGAGTTGGTTTTTCAGGCAAATGTCAGGATTAACAATAACTGTTGATCACATTTATAGTTTCAGCACAAATAAGTTCAGTGCTCTTGACTAAGCCTAGTGTGTTCTTCCCAGAGCTAGGAAAAAAGAAAGGAAGTGGGCAAGTGAGCGAGGCGCCTGTAATCCCAGCACTTGTGAGGTGGAGTCAAGGGTTAGGAATTCAAACTCAGTTCAACTCCATAGTGAGTTCTAGGTCACCCTGAGGTCCGTGGGATCCTGTCTTAAGAGAGGAGGCATGGGAGGGAGATCAAATTTAACCCAGAACAAACAGAAAAAGTTAATAAAATTAGCACATAAATCAATGAAATAAAAAATACTATTTTGAAAATTTATTTTATATGTGTGGGTGTTTTGCCTGTATGTAGGTCTGTGCACCATGGACATGTCTGGTACTCTTGGAGGCCAGAGAAGGTTGGCAGATCCCACAGAGCTAGAGTTTCATGAGTTGTGAGTGCTGGGAATTAAACTTAGGTCTTCCTGAGGAGCAGCCAGGGTTCTTAATCACTGAGCCATCTCTCCAGTCCCAAACAATAAATTTAATAAAACTAATGGTTCAGGGCTAGGAAGGAAGCTCAGCTGGGGGCAGCTCTCCTCCACCCCACCTGAATTTTTTTTTCTCTATGATTAAATGAAGTCTGAAAATGAAACCAATGTACTTAGCATAAGTTTCTTTTGCTCATTCCCAGCATGCCTACCTCCATGTGGCTTGTGTGCAGCCAGTGTGTGCCTGGTGCCTGCTGGTGGCTGCCTGCCTGGCAGCTTTAGGCTGGAGTGAAAGATGGCTGTGAGTCCTCAAAAGCTCTCCAGCCTCCTGGCTGCTAGTGACTCCCCCTGCCAGGAGCCAGCCCCGGCTTGGTGGGAGGAGAAGGTGATCGGTCGGTTCTTCTTGAGGCAGCCAAGGGGGATAGGAATTGGAAGAGTGTGGGCGAGGAGTAAGACTTGGTCTTACGAGATTGGGGTAATATCTTACGAGATATTTAGGGTTGCTGTTTAATAAAATCTTTCTTGTCTACATTACTAAAGTTTACTTGCTAGGCTACTGTAGCTGACCTGCAATCTGTTTGATCCTCTGAGGCCAGAAACTGCAGTTTCTGGCACTTAACACCCCAGCCCAGGGACAGCAGAGAATTAGGCAAATATCCTTAGTACTCTCTCTGCAGGCACTGCCAGGCTCTAACATAGGTCTGTTGGTTTGAGGTCACAAGACGAAAAGACACTTAAAGAAGTTATTATAATTTATTATTAAGTGTAATAAGTTTCCTATGAAAGTTATCTAAGGGGAAAAGTGGGAAGGTTCTAAGTGGGGAAAAGGAAAAAATTCTAACAAAGGAAAAATTCTAAGTAGAGAGATTCTAAGCAGGGAAGAAGGAAGGAGGAGAGAGAGAGAGAGAGAGAGAAAGTGTGGAAGAGAGAGAGAGAGAAAGTGAAGTGACCGCTAACGAACGTCCCTTTGTCTTATACATCATTTGGAGTACCTGATCACATGTTACAAAGTTCATCACAAGTTCACACCAAAATTCAAATCATAAATTGAAATAGAAGTTTACAATCGAGAATGTTTACATGCATATCCATTAGGAGTAATTATCCGGCTAAACATCCATCACTTGTCTAGCTCCACAGGTTCACTGAAGGTTTAAAACTATAACTAAGAAATTAGTGAAGTTTTGTATAGATAAACCCAGGCAATATTTTCTCTTCTGTCCTAGCACCTATAATAAATCTTGAGTTCCCTTTTAGTGACCTATGGTTAATTGTGTTACAACCACCTTGGAATGTGCTCTGAGCAGGAGAGAGTCTGGCTACTATCTAAGTGCTGTTAACTGATGACACTTCAGAGACTGGCAGAGTTCTCATAGCAGTTTTGACTATCAGAAAGGGACATAATACCAGTCCCACTATAAAAAGAGCTAAATAATCATTGATATAATTTTAGGAATTCTTATAGGATCATCATTAAGACTTAATAAGTCATCTATTTGTCTATATAGAATCACTACAAGGCAGTACATCTTCGTGGGTCTGCAGAGATCTGCTCCAAAGGGGAGTGCTATTGCTTAGTGATCATTATATATGTTTAACAACAACAATAACAACAACAACAACAATAATAATAATAATAGGAAAAGCATATTAATAGCAGGATCTTTCCTAAAATATGTCCAGCATAGCCTTGCTGATGTGGTACACTTGTCACAGATAATAATCCAAGGCAAGCATTTCAGGATGATCAACTGCTAATTATTAGCTTGTCCTATTATGGCTCCTGACATCCCCCTTTCCTGCCTTGGGAACAGGAGCCTCACACGGAATAAGGGTGGGGAAGCTAGCTGGAAGAAGGGACTGAGCAAGAATGGGAGAATAAGAGAAGGCAGCAGGGTTTAATATGAATTGATAACCATTCTTCGCTACATAGTGGTGTTGAGCCCACCCTGACCAAATCAGACCCTGTTAAAACAACAAACAAGCAAACAAACAACCCAGCAAAAATTCACACTCATTATATCAAAAAAGATTTTTTTTCCTATGAGCATAGTACAATAAAGCTTGACCCAAAAAATTGCAGGATAAATTGTTCAGCATCTTGGACCTTCTTTATACTTTTCTTATATTCCTCCTTAACAAAGGTAACCCCTGAGCAGAAAATAATCTTTTCCTTCCTTCCTTCCTTCCTTCCTTCCTTCCTTCCTTTCTTTCTTTCTTTCTTTCTTTCTTTCTCTCTTTCTTTCTTTTTTTTTTGGTGGGGGGTGGTATGATGATTGAACCCAGGGACCACTGTGCACTAAGCAAGTGCTCATTTATTGAGCTACCCATGCACTCTTATTTTTTTACCCCATTTTGATAGCTTAGGCATCTTAATTCTTCCAGCATCTTCTCGTTTCTGTGGGAACAAAAGGCAAAGTTGAATAAACTGTAAGAGAACCTGTGTCAAACAGAGGAAAAGACCTAGCCTTACACAATCTTATCTAAGTGCACAGGCACCAATCGGTAGGGAGGGTCCGCCTTCTTTGGGTGTTCACAGGCCACAATGAAGAATTTGTATTGTACAGCACTACTGTAGCAGCAGTTAGGATAGGCTGCTCCAGTGTGTGAGCAGTCAGTCATTTTGACAGGTTTTGCACTCTCGTGGCAGTTCTTCCGACCGTTCTTGCAGGTGATATTGCGCAAACCGCAGGTAGCAGCCACATTCTGGAAAGATTCATGCAGAAAGGTGTTTTTCTGTTTACAGTGTCGGGTATAATTGTTGACGCCGCGCATGGCTGTATTGCATTGCTGAGGACTTGTCTGTATGTGCTGAATTTCAAACCAGTGCGCCTTGGAGAGACCCTTAGGCTGAGTGCAAAGTAGACACATCGGCTCCCACAGCCCCAGCAACAATAGGAGAGGAAGGTGCCTGGGAAGGTCTACCACCATGTTTTCTGTGCAGGAAGAAGGAAGGTAGTGGTAATAGAAGAAGCAGTGAGAGCAAACATAACTATCTGACTCGTTTGACTTTTTTCCTTCCTTTTATGATTTCATAGCTCTTAAAAAAGGAAGAAAGCCGGTCTCATAATTCTATGAAAACGTTGAAGTCCGGTGAGGAGGACAGGAGATGAGTAGGCTGCCCCGGTTGTCACATCTCATCCTCTTTGACCTATATGTATACTCATACATGCAATGCTTCCTGTTGGGATCATAGCACGAATGTCCATGCATCCACAGATCTTCAGGGAAACCAGGAACGTTAAACACACAGGATTGTCTTTCCAATGGGAAAGATGAAAAACCCTGTCCTTCCATCCAGAAAGCTGAGAATTGGAGGTGATTAATAGTCTGGTGATCTGTGTTATCTGTTGAGCTAGCCTTAACAAGCTCCTGCAAGTAGGACTGAAGGTTGCTCCTAATATAAATGACTTTTATAGTCAGAGGCTCTCCAAGCTCTCACAGAAGGACCGGAGGTGGTTAACGGCACAAATGACCTCTATGCTCTCTATATGACTGAGAACAGGACAGACCCTTAGGCCCTTAAGCTAGTACAGGTAGCCTATCTTTAGAACCCATCTTGTCAGAAGAAATGACACTACCCTAAGTTGAGCTTCAATGTTATTGTGGTTCCTTGTGCATCAGAGATTGAATTACACCAGGAAGCTTATTTTCCAAATTATACTGGGTTTAAATACACGAAATAAACCTCCAGTTATCAGACTCCCCAAAGTCCGATCCAGTTTGATTGAAGTAAATTTATACCTGGTTTTCATTCTTAGCTCTTCCTGGGGCTCCCTTCCCGGTGTGATACCTGCAGGGACCCCCACAGCTTCCACCTGTAATCTCTTCTTCTATATTTACCTTCCCTCTCCAGCCAGCATTTCCCAGCCAACTCCACTGCCTGGCCAGGGCCCTGAAGCACCTCTCTTACCAGGTGTTTGTGTTGGACTCCTACTGTGAACAGGGGCAGTTGATCAGTCCCAGGCTCAGAATGTTTTGTTTGCTTCTCTTCTTCAAGCTAGTCACAGCTGCCTAGGTGGGGCAGGGCAAGACTTATTCTTAAGCCTATGAAAGAGAAACCTTAGATTTTTGCAGAAGTATGGTGGGGTGAGACTCTCCACCTCCAAGTGAACTCTTTAACAGTTTCGATGTCAGTGAAGAGGAAGAATAAACTCAACTCAAGAACAGAGTAGGCTCAAAGCTCAGAGTTTTAAGGACCTGAATACTTGCTGTGGGCTTAGCACTTCCTTTTTGACTGGAGTTTCTGTTTTTGAAGCCCTATAATTTTAGTTTCTTAACAAAAAAAAATGTACATTGTATATTTGTATAATAGTTGCCACACACTTGGAAAAATGAGTTCCTAAAAGAACACTTGGATAAATCATTTGTTTGTATATGTCTACGGGGCCAGACACTAGGCTACTCAGATTTAGGAGTTTACAGTCTTTTGAAAGACAGTCAGGTAAATAAACATGTTATAAATCAATAACTATGAATAGCATTCACACTGTGATGTCCACTAAAGGGAACGAGAATTATTATTGAAAGACACCCACCTAAGCTGAGCTGTGTCTGAGGACTAACTAGTTAGGTGAGCAGAGTGACAAGGATCTTTGAAGTGAGAATTGTTTGTGAAAAGACCCAAAAGCATGACAAAGAAGAGAAAATGTAGGGTCTTTGCTTTTGAATCTGTTTTCTCCTCCCCGATGGTGTGAGACACAGGATTGCTGCACCTCATCCTCTCGGGGAAGGCTTACACTTGGACTTCCTGCCTCCGGTCTTATTTCTTTCTAATCAGTCCTGCACTATTTTCCCAGATTAACACAGTTACATAGTACATTTTTACCCACAGAAGTGTTTCTGTTTCTCTTCAGATAGTGTCTTCAGATAGTCTCCTTCAGATAGGCCTGCCTCCAACTCGGTATCCTCCTGCCTCCTCCTCCGTAGAGCTGGGATGCAGGCATACACCACCACACTCACTTTGACATCCACAGGGATGCTCATATGTCGTTTAACCACTGTGGTTCGAGTGTGACAAGCTCCCACACACACTTGTGTGTTTGAGTAAGTAGACTCCAGTGACTTTGACTAACATCCACAGGGATGCTCATATGTCATTTAACCACTGTGGTTCGAGTGTGACAAGCTCCCACACACACTTGTGTGTTTGAGTAAGTAGACTCCAGGGCTGGGACTGTTTGGGAAACTTGTGCAAGCTGTAGGAGGTGGAGCCTTGTAGAGGAAGTGTGTCACTGCAGGTGGGCCTTGAGGCTTTATACACAGTTCCACTTCTTGTGTGCTCTATAATTCCTGACTGAGACAAATATAACTAACCTGCTCCTGCCACGATGCATCCCTGGTCATGACAGATTTAGGCTGGGAGCCAAATCTATCTTCCTCTATCAATCTGACTCTGTCTGGGGTTTTGGTCGTGGAAAGAAGACAAGTAACCACAATATTTGCAGTTACTGTTACTCAAATGTTGATATATGGCTAGGCACAGTGGCCCACCCCTGTAATCCTAGCACTAACGGAGGCTGACAAGGGCCAGCCCCAGTTAATAGGAACAGTGTCTCAAACAGAAAAACAGACAACAGCAACAATAACGACAATAACAGAAAATGTGCTTTAAAGAGGCTGAAGAAATGGCTCAGTGGAAAGGAGTGTCTACTGCTTCTGCAGAGGCTCTGAGTTCAGTTCCCAACACCTGTCTCAGGTAGCTTACAGCCCTCTGTAACTCCATCTCCAGGAGGAATCTGATGCTTTTGGCCTCCTTGGGCACCTGCAATTACATTCATATACTCCCCCAATCCCACATGCATCTTTAAAAATAGCTTTAAAAAACAAACTTTTTATTGATTCTTTGAGAATTTCCTATCATGCACCTCGTTCCCACTCATCCACTCATCCCTCCATATCCACCCTCTGCCTTTGCACCTTTACCACGAAAAGAAAACAAACAAAATCTCACAGTGTATGTTACAGTATGTAGCATTGTACATCCTTCTGCCCAGACAACTTTACTTGTAGATGTTCATTGCAGTGAGTCATTGGTCTGGTTTGGAGACTCTGGCTTCTCTACACTATCAGTACTGGATCCTCACTGAGACTCCTCTCGGATGTTGTGTTGTTGCCCTGTGTCATGGAGATCCTGCAGCTTTGGTTCTGGAGGATCAGCCCCTTCATGTGCTCCAGTAGTTCACAGATGGGGTAGGTGTAAGGATGGGCGAACTCAAAGCCTTGGATCTGGGCCTGGGTGGTAGCTGAGTTGGTCAGCCTAATAATAGCTCTCTTTTGCTCATACCACCTTGGCCAGCTCTGCTGTCCTGCCCAGGCAAGGTTTAGGGTACTCTCCTGAATGCTACAGCTGGCAAGGGGTGGGGCCAGCTCTCCCATCTGCTTCAGGTGGCTAGAGGTGAGCGTGGGGAGGCGTGTCTCTCCCATGCACACACTACCAGATGGCCCATGAGGACAGTCAGTTCCCCTGCACTCATACCCTTGGGGTCCAGCTTACCGGCAACCCCCCAAACCAGGGCCAGTTCTACTGTGCTTCTCCAGTAAGGTGTGTGTGAGGGGTGGGGTGGGGGGAGCTGCTTTGTGCTGCAGCTGGTGAGGGCCTGATCCCTCTCCCACACTGCCCAAGTGAGGGGTAGGACCAGCTTTGCATAGCCCTTGAACATCAACATAGTCCCAGACGGCAGCCTAGAGCAAAGACATCCACACGGCCTTTGGTGGTTAACATGGGCCACAGACATCAATCAACGCAGACCTCTCTTTCTGCAGGGCCATAAACCCAGACATGGTTCTCAGTGGTAGCACAGGCCAGGACCTCACCATGGCCTCAGGTAGACTCCCAGGCTCCTCACATCGTTCCTTACCACCCTCGAGTCTCCAGTCCAGCTTCTCTTGACTGTACACACGTCCTTCTGTTTCTCTTTCTCTTCCATCTCTCCATCACTAATTTGTGCCCGGGCCTCTGAGTGTCTTTCACGTGCCACTGAGGGAGGGGTTGTCTCAGCCAGGTGTGTGGAGGGCGACATCAAGAGCATGTTCTGCCCCCCTGCCCCCAAAAATAGCTTTTAAGGTTAGCTTCTTCTTTGACAGTGCCATAAATGTACACAGACCCTACACTCTGATCACACTCATGCCTCCTCTCTTTCTAAAACTTGCATTTTGTTTATTTATATGTTTGTTTATATATATTTAGTGTGTATGTTCTCACATGGGACACACACATGAATTTGTGTCATTGTGCATGTGTGGAGATCAGAGGACAATTTGCAAGATCTGGTTTTCCCTTTCTACTGAATGGATTCCAGGGATCTACTCAGACAATCGGGCTTGATGGCAGGCTCCTTTATCTGTTGAGTCCCCTCACTAGCCCCTCTCTCTCACCCTCCTCCCATTCCAGCCCTTCCCACTTCGACACCAGGCATTTGCATGGGTTTAGTTTAGATTTTGTTTGTACTTTGTGACCCACTGGGTTTCAACAGGACTGGTCTTGTGGGCGTGGCTGTAAAGCTCTCGACTGGGGCATGGATAACTCACACAGGCTACATTACTGAAGATAATGACTTCCCCAGGAGCCATCAACCACAATTAGCTCTCCTTGGAGAGGTCTCACGAGCCTCTCCTGTATCTATGACAGAATGTTTATGGGCTCAGTCTTGTGCAGTTCCTGGCAAACAGTCACAGATGTTGTGAGTTCAACATGCCATAGTCTTGGTATGTCTGTAAGACAGCATTACATGGCCGCTGCCACCACCATCATCACCATCATCATCATCACCATCATCACCATCATCATCCAGCTGTTATACCCCACCTCCCTTCTTGATATTTTCTGGGCCTTGGAGAGGATGATATAGGTGGTCCATTCACAACTTAGCACCAGATACTCACCTCTCCTTAGCACCTTGACCAACTATGAGTCTTTTCCGTAATTGCCATTAGATGTGATTTAGTTTTTCTCTCTACAGCTTTCAGTATATTTTCTTTGTTCTATATATTCAGTATTTCAACCATGATATGATATGGGCATTTTGTTTTCTGGTTATATTTGGTGTTCTGTGTGTTTCTTCTACCTGGATGGGCATGTCTTTCCCTAGCTTTGGGAAGTTTTCTTCTATGCATTCATTGAAAATATTTTCTATGCCTTTGGTGTGAAAATCTTTTCTTTCTAGTCCCGAAGTTCACGTTATCCCAGCGATTCTGGATGTTCAGTTCATACATTTCAGAAACGCTGTGGTTGTGGTGGCTCATGCTGGTGAGATGTGCCGAAGAAGTAAAGGCAGAAGGAGGATCAATGAGGCCAACTTCTACTTCACAGTTGCCTTTTCAATGTATGTCATTTAGCTTGGCTAAATGGTCCAATTCTTTTACTTTGTCTTCAAGTCTTGATATACTGTTTTCCGTATGATTCATTTAATTGGTGAGACTCTCCTGTAACAGGGGTTTTGGGACTAGGGGGGTCATTAAGCTCATTCTATGAGGCAGACTGTTCCGTGTAATTTTAAAAGCAAACTTGCTTCTTTGCCCAGGGCTGCGCTCTCAGTTTAGCTCTGCAATCATGCTCCTGCCAGCCCCCCCCCACCCCCCCTTCCCGGGAGCTCGACCCATGCTCCGACCTCTCCTGGTTTAGATCAGCAGCAGCTGGCCTCACTTCCAATTTGCCCGTTCCTCCCGGGTAGCTTAGCCAAACCACCACCAACCACTCCAGCTGCTCTCTTTCCCCATCTGCCCACCTTAGCCCCGAGGATGGAAAACACTAGACAGTTCTGTTATTTTAAAAATAGCCAGATACACAATGGCTGGACGAAAAATCCCAGGCCCTAATCTTATCAGCTAATGGCTAGCTCCTGCCAACCTCCTCGGCCCTCACTCAAGGCAGAGGCTGCCTGTCCTAGGTGACCCGAGGGCTTAACATGGTTGTTCGTGCTTCTCCTGAAACCTGGCTGAAAGGACCTCACTCACCCTATGTCCCTTCTCTTCCTCCTGGGACCCAGAACTTTCCTTGGCTCAGCA